GGCGGGGGCTCGGCCGGAGGGCTAAGTGGACTAGACAGAAACGGCTTCAATAGAGAAACGTGAAAAGCAGGATGCACATTCACGGAAGGAGGCAGTTTGAGCCGGACAACCACCGGATTAAGACCTTGTCTATCTCGTACGGTCCAATAAACCTGGGGGACAACTTCCGAGAATCGGTTTGCAGGGGAAGGTCCCGAGTAGACAGCCAAACCCTCTGACCCGGTTTGTATTCAGGAGCAGGTGAACGTCGACGGTCAGCAAGTTGACGGTTACGTGCCGCAGTCCGTGAAAGGGCTGCACGAACCCCGTGCCAGACACGTCGGGCTCGCTGAAGATGTAGTTGGATGGAAGGTACTGCAACTCGAGTCTCCTGGCTCGGGAAAAGAGGAGGTTGAAAGCCGTTAGCAGCCATAAACGGGGACATACCGGTTGCAGATGACACCAGGGTGTTGTGGGAGTACTCAATCCAGGGGAGATGAGAAGACCAGGAAACTGGGTGGCGAGCAGTAACACAGCGAAGGGCAGCCTCCAAGTCCTGGTTGGCCCGCTCAGTCTGGCCGTTGGTCTGCGGATGATACCCTGACGATAAGCTGGAGGAGCACCCCACAGCGTGACAGAAGGCCTTCCAAACCTGAGAAGTAAACTGCGGCCCTCTATCAGACACAATATCTTGTGGTATGCCATGGAGTCTGAAAACATGTTCAATGAGTAATTTAGAGGTCTCAAAGGCGGAAGGTAACTTCGGTAGAGAAACAAAATGCACAGACTTGGAGAATCGGTCTACAATCGTCAAAATTACTGATTTTCCCTCAGAAGGAGGAAGACCAGTCACAAAATCAACAGAGATGTGAGACCACGGACGGTGCGGAATAGGAAGTGGACGGAGCAACCCAGCAGGTGCTTGGTGAGAAGACTTGCTGCGGGCACAGACTGAGCAGGCAGCAACAAACTCTCTGGTGTCTGCAGACATAGACGGCCACCAAAAATGTTGTTGAACTAACTTGAGAGTCCGGTGAAATCCAGGATGGCAAGCGACCTTGGAGGAATGTCCCCATTGAAGAACCTCCGACCTGGCAGAACGAGGCACAAAAACGCGATCCGGAGGACAACCTTCAGGGGATGGTTCATTAACAGAGGCCTCCCGAACGATCCTCTCCACATCCCAGAAAGCTGCACCAATAATGCAGGTGGAAGGGAGGATTGTCTCACTCTGTGAGTCTTCGACAGGTGGGGCAAACTGCCGAGACAGGGCGTCAGGCTTTATATTCCTGGAGCCAGGACGGTAAGTAAGCACAAAGTTAAATCGACCCAGGAATAGCGCCCAGCGCGCCTGTCTGGAATTCAATCTGCGGGCAGAACGGAGGTAAGACAAGTTCTTGTGGTCTGTCCATACCACAAATGGCTGTGTGGTCCCCTCCAACCAGTGCCTCCACTCCTTTAAAGCCTCGATAACGGCTAGTAGCTCGCGGTTACCGACATCATAGTTCCGTTCCGCTGGAGACAGTCGACGAGAGTAGAATGCGCAGGGATGTAGCTTCTGGTCAGGGAGTGAGCGCTGAGAAAGGACTGCGCCTATCCCAGAGTCTGAAGCATCCACTTCCACAATATATTGGGCTGAAGGATCTGGATGAGACAAGATAGGAGCAGAACAAAATAGCTCCTTGAGCTTATTAAAAGAACACTCTGCCTCAACTGACCATTCAAAAGGCACTTTAACAGAAGTCAATCTCGTAAGCGGGCAAGCAACTCTACTATAGTCCCGAATAAAACGTCTGTAGAAATTTGCAAACCCCAGGAACCTCTGAAGTTGCTTCCGGTTGAGAGGCGTGGGCCACTCTGCCACGGCCTTGACCTTATCTGGGTCAGTTCTAATCTGCCCCTGCTCAACGATAAAACCCAGGAAACTAACAGAAGTCAAATGAAAATCACATTTCTCAGCTTTTACATAGAGTCTGTTCTCTAACAAACGTTGGAGTACAAGTCTTACATGTTGGACATGTTCCTGAATGGAACGAGAAAAAATCAAAATATCATCAAGATAAACAAACACAAATCTGTTTAACATATCCCGCAATACATCATTAATAAGAGCCTGGAACACTGCTGGAGCATTAGTCAAGCCAAATGGCATTACCAGGTATTCGAAATGTCCCAGTGGTGTATTAAATGCTGTCTTCCACTCGTCCCCTTCTTTAATGCGAACTAAGTGATAAGCATTGCGGAGGTCGAGTTTGGTGAAAACTGTAGCATCATGAAGGTGACTAAAGGCAGAGTCCATGAGTGGCAGGGGATATGTGTTCTTAACAGTGATATCATTCAGTCCCTCTAAAATCAATACAAGGGCGCAGGGAACCATCTTTCTTACCAACAAAAAAAAACCCTGCACCAACTGGTGAAGAAGATGGGCGTATAAGACCTGTAGCGAGAGAGTCTGAGATATAGGTCTCCATGGCCTCCCTCTCTGGCTTAGACAGATTGTAAAGTTTACTGGTAGGTAATGGGGCCCCAGGTATCAAATCTATGCTACAGTCATATGGCCTATGCGGGGGTAATGAAAGTGCTTGATCCTTAGAGAAAACCTCAGGAAGATCATGATATTCAACAGGTATCAGAGATAGATCAACAGGCGTAGGACATGTGCGTAGTCCTGATTTAATTGTTGGCTTAGCGGAATGCAGACAGTGACTGTGACAAAAGAGGCTCCAATTAACAATACTTTGCTTAGGCCAGTCAATGTGTGGGTTGTGGAGTTTAAGCCAAGGAAGACCTAAAACAAGCGGTGAAGAGGGAGAACTGACAACAAAAAATGAAATAGTCTCATGATGGTTACCCGAAAGTAGCAAGGACACTGGGACAGTTCGGTGAGTGATACAAGTCAGTATGTTCCCATCGACTGCATAAACGTTCCTGGGTTCGGGTAGTTCCTCGCAGAAAATGTCACACTGGGAAGCAAAACTGCTGTCGATAAAGTTATCGTCTGCTCCAGAGTCCACTAGGGCAGTAAGAGGGAATGAGTCTTTAGTACAGGACAGCGTCCCTTTCAGCTGGACGCGTCCGGTAGAGGGATCTGTAAAGGAGTGGCTCACCAGCAACCCTCCGCTGACCGATGAGCCTATTCTTTTGGCAGAGCAGAACAATTGGCCACATTATGGCCTCCCTGACCGCAGTAGATACAGAGTCGGAAACGAAGACGTCGCTGGCGTTCCTCGAGGGTTAACCGCATCCTCCCCAGCTGCATGGGTTCCTCAGAGCTGGAATTGTGTTGTCCCGTAGTTGTAGCACTGGCAGATTGCCCCAGGTGTGCAGGTGCAGGCTGACGAGGTGGTTGAGAAAAGGTGGCAGGGAACATGGCAGGGAATGGGCCTCTCCTAGCTGTTCTTTCCCTGCGTCTCTCTGCTAGACAATTGTCTAAACGAATGGCTAGGGTAATTAATTCCTCAAGGGAAGAAGTCTCGTCACGTGCCGCTAATTGGTCTTTAAGTTCTTCACTCAAACCCCGGAAAAACACACCCTGCAAAGCTCTCTCATCCCACCCGGTCTCTGCAGCTAAAATACGAAAATCAATGGAATAGCTAGAGACTGAACCTGCCCTGGCGAAGTGAAAGAAGACGGTTACTGGCTTCTTTCCCTTTGAGGGGATGATCGAAAACTTTACGCATCTCAGTAGAAAATGCATCCAGAGAGTTACAAACAATTGAACCACTATTGACTAGAGCAACAGCCCAGGCAGAAGCCTTTTCAGAGAGCAGACTCATAATAAAAGCAACTTTAGCTTTATCGGTCGAGTACGTTAAGGGTTGTTGATCAAACACAAGAAAACACTGATGTATAAACTGGCTACATAACCCTATTTCACCTGAATACCTAGCAGGAGTAGGAATGAAGGGCTCACGGGCTGGGCTGTGGGGACTTGTACTGGGCCTGGAGCTGGAGCTGGAGCTGGAGCCGGATCCGACACAGGTGGAGTAGTAGAATCCAAGTGAGAGGAGATCTGGTCCAAGCGGGTGGTTATTTGGTCCAAACGAGCACCAAACTGGGAAAAACTTAAGTCAACCTTCTTGAATGCAGCCATGAATTCTTTCAATGACTCTTCATGTTGCTTTAAATTAGCAGCCTGAGCAGCCATCGTTTGTTTAAGCCTTACAAGCTCTGCGGGGTCCATGTTGGCCAGATAATTCTGTTATGTCTTTTCAATTGTGGACCCCAAATCAGAGTTGAAACAGGCTGACGAAGAACAAAAATTTATTTACAGTCCAAAACAAAAGTAGAAAGAACAAACTGTAGGCAGGCTGAGGTGACAGAGGCGCTGGCTGGAGACTTGGAGGTGCAGCAACCAAGGATCTGGGAAAAAATTGTATGAGTAAAAAAGCGAAATAATCACAGGAACAGGCGCACGAGGACACTACCGTGTGTGACGGAATTATCTGGCACTGAAGAGCAGTCCAAACTGGGTTTAAGAAGCCAGGTGTAAATTGGCTGCAGGTGTGTCTGCTACACCGTCCAGCCACACTCCCATCACCACAAGCTCTGCAGAAAAACAAAAAGGGAGGGGGGAAGAAACAGAGCAACACAACCCTCACAATTGTTAATGTTAATATTTTGTGTGATTGCTTCAGGATTATTACAGGAGAATGCCAGATGGCCAGTTTTACTCATAATTCTTTCATTTAAACTCAGAACTTGTCCTATACAAGCATATAAAGACAATGTTTAAAAAATGTTTTTAATTCTATGTTTCAACATTAGTTTGCACTGTTCAAAGAATGAGTGTCAATTTCGGTTACATATGTACATACAAATGAAATCAATGATTAATGAACTGCATTGATGACTCATTCTTTAGTGATCCACAATAACGGGCGTACAGACATTGTGAGCTCTAAGTAAAAAAACAACAAAACAAAAAGTTCAAATGAACACTTGTAAAATTATTTCTTCAAAGCTAAATATTGAAGTCTTGACGTTTTGACGGACATACATGTATAATGACATTTCGTCAGGTGCCTTCCTGATCCCATATCTGATATTACTGGTGCTGGAGGGAACGCCACTGCTTCTCCTGGAGTTTGCTATTGGCCAGCGGCTGAGGAAAAGCAGTGTAGGAGTGTGGCGTACCATTAACCCATATCTGACCGGACTTGGTGAGTCAAAATATGATACACTGCTACAATCATGGACAGTATAACATAAATAATATATATATATATATATATATATATATATATATATATATATATATATGTGTGTTTTAGGTATCTCATCTATGCTAGTGTCCTTTTTAATTGGACTGTACTACAATACCATAACAGCATGGATCCTATGGTACTTATTTAATTCCTTTCAAGACCCTCTTCCCTGGGATCAGTGCCCCCTCAATGAGAATAAGACAGGTACAAAACATACATGTTAAATTTTGCATCATAACCAATTATACATTTTAATTGGTTTCAGGTTATGTAGCTGAATGCCAAGAGAGCTCCAGGGTGGATTACTTCTTCTACAGAGTAACACTGAATACTTCAGCCTCAATAAGTGACTCTGGAGCTCTTCACTGGCCAATTGTTGTGAGCTTGTTAGCTGCCTGGACAATAATATTTATTTGTTGCATTAGGGGGATCAGCACAGCAGGCAAGGTAAGTTGACTTAAACATTAATTCTGTGCACATTTTTAGCATCGAATTATGTTTTGTTGAATAGAAGAACAGCTTTACGGGATTATTAAAGTAGCAATATGTAAGATTTTCATGCCAAGTCATCATTAAATGGCATTAAAAGGTCTCATTATGATTCTCAAATCGACAAAACAAGGATTAAAACTAGGATTTCTATCGTGGATGCCTTTGTGAAAAAGTTGTTGGTTATAGATTTGTTGTTGGCAAAACTCTTGTCTATACAGCTATTAAGGTCCCAGCTGGATTTGTTTGCATATCTGGCAACCTGAGTCAGGGACAGTGGGAGTTGCAGTAGCACTTTTGGCCAGATTTTCACATACTGCTCCTTAAAATGTAGCTAAATGTTTGTTTTTGTTCATAAAAACATTTGTTTGATCCAACAGAAAGTGATAGAACCAAAGAGCGGTAGGAACTAGTTAAAGAGATTTTATTACATTAGGTACTCCAGCTTTAAAATGCTGGTTTTAATGTATATATCAATGAAAATTCAGATTGAGTGTGCCCAGTGTGCACAAGTACATACATCAAAATCAAAATACATCAGGGTTTTAAGCACAGAAGTAAAACAAATTTAAAAATGCACAAAACAATGTATATAATAGGAATAAGAATGTGTCATGACTTGTATGTTTGATGTGTATCCCAAGGCAGTGTATGTTACTGCAGTCCTACCTTACTTTGTTCTGGCCATTTTCCTGATCCGTGGACTGACTCTTAAAGGTGCCTTCAGTGGAGTCAAGTTCCTATTTACACCAGTTGTAAGTCTGAAAAAAGACCAATTACAAATGAATTTTAATCAAAAGCATTCAACAAAATGTTTATTCTGTAGGTGGACGAGTTGCTGAACCCGACCACGTGGCTGGATGCTGGCGCTCAGGTGTTCTTTTCTTTTGGATTAGCATGGGGTGGACTCATTTCTTTCTCCAGCTACAACCCGCTTCAGTAAGAACAAAAGAAGCTGACAACATTTTCAATAAGCATTTCAGCATTTCTGTTTCTCAATTACAGTAATAATTGCAAGAATGACGCCATCATCTTGTCGGTGGTTACTGCTGCCACCTCAGTCTATGCTGCCATGGTGACCTACAGCATCATCGGGTTCAGAGCGACAGAAAAATATGACCAATGTATCAGAGAGTAAGTACTGCTAGTGTTACAAATACTAGCACCTCAATAAGCCTGCCAGAATAATTCATATTTTGACTTATCGGTAATTTATTGTCTGTAAATTTTCTATGCATCAGTGAAGACATTTTTTTAGCTGTATGGTCCAGCATGGCATTCTGCTTTTGATTTTCTTAGTGCTTGCATTTTTATAATATGAACAAATAAAAAAAATAACTATTCCAGTAATTGTCTAAATATCATAGCCATTAAGATGAGGAGAAGAAGATTGAGATAACATACTTTCTTGATCTCACAATGTCACTCTTGGCATTTATACTGTAGAATTCCTCAGGGTGTGCAAAAATAAAGGTTGAAATATATTCTCTTTTGTGCAAGACATATTATGTAAAATCAAAAATTCTAAGTGACTAGTGCAGTTTTTCAGTCCTTTAAATTAAAATGTATCATTGTGACAGGCCTAGTCATGTAACTTTAAATATGTTTTGTCTAACGTGTTTCTTTATTTTTCTCACAGTAACATCTTGAGACTATTGAACGCCTTTGACGTGCCTGAAAACAACATCACACCAGACAACTATGATGAAGCCTACACACATTTTAATAGCACATATCCAGATAGGGTTATGTCATTGAATATCGCTCCTTGTGACATGCAAACATTTCTTAGTCAGGTAAAATATTGATTGAATATTTTGTTGTGTCGTGAACCATATAAACTGCATGTCATATCATTTGTTTTAGGGAGTGGAAGGACCTGGTCTTGCTTTCATTGTTTTCACAGAGGCCATTATCAACATGCCTGCATCTCCAGCTTGGGCCATACTTTTTTTCATCATGCTTCTCTGTTTGGGTCTCTCAACTCTTATAGGAACCTTTGAGGGGGTCATTGTTCCATTAAAAGACCTAAATGTTTTCCCAAAAACCTGGCCCCAGGAAGTACTAACTGGTAATTTTGAACATACAGTACTTGCTGGACTATTAAGCATATATATATATATATATATATATATATATATATACAACCCACACCTGTTGCATTTTTAAAATAAAGTACATTTTGTGCACATACAGGCTGTACTTTAACTGCAGGGTTACATGTTGTAATGTAACACCACTAACGTCTGTCAGCTAATAGAGTAAAAAAAGCCAATAGATCCCCTTTTTTTCTCCATTAGCTGACAAACGTCTTCTGGCTCCGAAGCTACCAGTAGCTCGCTGCTCCCGTCCAGGTAGTTCCCCAAAGGATTCAAGAATTTAACACATCCTGAATCATTCACTTTTCAGTCATTGTATGTCTATTTTAACTATAAATGTTTTCAATGATGCAGGGAGACAGCAGTATAACAGTATATTATGCAGTTACTTTAGACTACAAATCTATTACAACTGCTAAAGTAAGTAAGTCATCTTCATTCATATAAAGCATTTCACAGATCAAGGTCACACAAAGTGCTTTACAATGTTTTTGGAGCATAGATAAAGGAGTAGCTCTCTGCCAATTCTGTTTTATAAAACTAGCTCTCCAATTGAAAAAGGTTGGAGGAGACTGGTATTTTCACAGTAAATCCTACATCCTACTAGAACTTAAGGGTGTCAAAAATTCCCATTATCATAGTAGGGAAGTGCGGGTATTTCTTCCCTGGACTTCCTTGTGTTGCTCCATCCGTGCAGTTCACTTAAACATACCAGAGGACATGTGTGCAACATCTTTAGCTTTGTGCCTAACTTAGTTTCTTAGGTTTTAAACATTTAACTATTTATAAACATTTGCGTTTTTTGTTTTTTTATTGAATGTAATTCAACTTGTAATTTGTGTGTGTTTTAGGTGTAACATTTCTTTCTGCCTTCATCATCACTTTGCTGTTTGCTCAACATTCTGGGTTTTATTGGGTGACTCTCTTCGATAGCTTTGCGGGATCAGTTCCTCTTCTCTGCATCGGCTTGTTTGAAATTGTAATAGTGGTCTACGTTTATGGGGTAGACAGGTAGGTAAAGGTAACTAATAATGAAAACACGAATACATGAGAGACAACCTAAAACCAATAACTGCCACAGGTTCAATGAAGATATCAAGTTCATGATTGGTTCTAAACCTGGCTGGTTCTGGCAAGTTACATGGAGGTTCATCAGCCCGCTCATAATATTGGTCATTTTAATTTTCTACCTGATAACACAAGCACAAAAAGAACTGACCTATTCAGTGTGGGATCCCAGCTCTGTAAGAAAGCACATTTGTAATATACAATATCTGCGTAAAAAACCCAAACAACAAGTTTACTCACTATCTGATTTCTTCTCAGGAGAATTTTCCCTCTCTGGCATCAGTCCCATACCCAGGATGGATCTATGCAGTGATCTTTCTATTGGCAGGAGTCCCCAGTTTGGCAATGCCCTTTTATGCATTGTGCAGGGTGATCTACGTCAAATGTAACAAAAAGACAGAAGAATACTAATTAAACAAAATCACAGAGAAAATAGTTTTTACACAATGTAAATAATGAAATGCTTTGGATGTGAATTGATTGAAACAAATAAAAAGCAGTACTTGTTTCCAACCACCAGGTGTTTCCCCCTAACTTATTGATGACAGCATCTCCTACAAACAAACAAAATCACACTCTGAAATCATAGAATAATCAAGAATTTCAGGTAAAAAAAAAAATTGACTTTTGTAAATTATTGCCATAGATGTAATGGAATTCACAGAGTTTTTGGACTGACCAGAACCACACAAAAACATTTTTTTCTTGACACTGTGACCAATATGCTATCCTCTTCACATCTTTCATAAACTGTCTAAGCTTGTAAAATTAGAATATCTTTAAAATGTCTATTTACTTACATGAAAACTTAAATTGCAATGTGAGACTTGCATATGACAGACTATTACACGCAAAGTGCAATATCTGAGTATTATAATGTTGATAGTTGGCTCACAGCTTGTAAAAACCCAAAATAATATTAATTATTTGATAACCATAAGTTTATGGACCATCCATCCATTTTCTACCCCTAAATCCATTTCTGGGTCGGGGGGTGGCAATCAGAGATGCCTCCCAAGTCACATAGCACCATAATCCATAATCACCAAAACTATGACAAACAAAGGCTTGGAATATGCCATTGTGCATTTAATTACTCAATATCATATAATGGTTTAACGTTACAAAAATAAAAACTTTTCAACCATATTCTATTCTGAGTTTCACCTGAACAGTAGACAATATTACAATGTGATCATGTAAGTTTCTGAACTGTCACTTGGCACAGAGCATTGAGCTGCAAAAGATTCAGAAACCGCTCTTGCAAATATCCTCCTCAAAGGAAATATTGCTGCACCGTGTTCATGTATCCGTGTTATCTGCTCAGTGAGACTAAGCAAATAAAACAAGCTCATATAGTTCTCAGCTGTTGTGACGTATCTATCCTTTGAGGAATACATCCAGGATCAGTCTATCGAGCTGCCAGTGCTGGCTTCTGCTTCAGTGGATCCACAATGAAAGTGCTACTCCCAAACCCTGGACTGGACGAGCGCATCCAGACATATGAGGAACTAGGCAGGATGGACAAAGAGCAGGCTGAGGACCGGCCCAAGTGGGACAACAAGGCCCAGTACATTCTGACCTGTGTGGGATTCTGCATCGGCATCGGCAATGTGTGGCGCTTTCCGTACCTGTGCCAGAGCCATGGAGGAGGTATATTTAGAAAATGCTACTGAAAGTAGCAAAAGTAGTAATTATATGGAAGCCTACAAGTAATGCATGGTAAAGCTAAAATATGTCATGTGCAAGCATAAAAAACTGGATACTACAATTGCAATTTACAAATGTATGATGATTCTTGAAGGGTAGTTATTTAAAAGTAAAAAGAAAAAAAATGCTTCCAGCAAACAAACTTTACTGACTAATACCATAAAAAAACTAAATGTCTATCCCTCCCACACAAAAAACGCAAAATCAGAATATCATGTCTGATTTTGTATAATATCTACAAGAAAGACACCATAACGTTTTTTTACAAAATTGCAAAAAAGAGGGATCCTTCATTTTTATCATAGGTACACTTCAACTGTGAGTGAAAGAATGTGGAAAAAACAGGGAATATACAAGGAATCACATTGTATGATTATTAAACAGCTTATGTGTACAATGCTACAGAAATACGTATTTGACACAAAAAAACAAATCTTTGTTGGCACTGACTTAAGTCACCATATCCTGTAGGTCTTCACCAGGTTTCATTGTCAAAGCTGTAACTGACGACAAGGGTTTCTGCCCAAAATTATACATGGCCCGATTCATTTAGTGCCAATCTGTCGTCCAAATCCCATGGCGGAAAAGCAGCCTCAAACCATAATGTTTCCACCCCCATGCTTCACGTACTGTGAAGCATGGGGGTGGAAACATTATGGTACATCAGACTGTATGTACTATACAGTGTTCTTGAGATGGAAGGAACTCAATATTCCCTAGACAACTAGAGAGTTTTTAGGTTCAATTTTGATCCCATCTGACCACTTAATATTCTACAAAGCCTCTTCTGGATCATTCAGATACTCACCAGAAAGCTTTAGACTGCCCTAGACATGAGTTTAAAGTCAAAACATATAATTGCCCACAAAGGATACCTTACAAATGGAAACTGACAATTTTTATTTTTTTCTTTCTTTATCAACTTTCACGAGTGAATATTTCTTTCAAAGTTTGGGACTTCTACCAGAGCACCTCTATCATTGCTGTTCCTTGCACTGCACTTATCTGGACTGTGATTTCCGAGGTTTTTTCTAGGGCCCCATCCAGATCCGCTCACAGCCTTTGGTATTTCTCTCACTTCTCGTGTTCTTTCTTTCTCATGCTTAGGGCCTGCTGAGTTTACCCATTGGTAGGGCATCTTGAGATCAGTCACTCCAGTTATGCATCCCGTGTAGGGGCTTATACTCTACCATGAAAAAGTCCCATGTTGAGCTTGTTGTTGTTTGCGGATGTTGGAACACTGAACGACTGTTTTGCGGTCAATCGTTACTGCATATCCATCTATATATGACAAAAGAGGATACTACCCAATACCTAATGCGAGTGCGTCTGGGGAAGAATGTCCCGGACTCTAGGATTATAAATACAGTTCTGTTCTTTCTCCCCTGCTCTTCTCCCTGTACACCAACCACTGCACCTCAAGCCATGACTCCGTAAAGCTCATCAAGTTCGCGGACGACACCACTCTCATTGGGCTCATCAAACAACGATGAGTCCGCCTACAGGAGGGAGGTGGACCGGTCCTGGTGCAGTGATAACAACCTGGAGCTGAACGCCCAGAAGACAGTGGAGATGATTGTGGACTTCAGAAAGAGCACAGTTTCCCGTCCCTCGACCCTCCCTTATGGACTCCCCCATCACCTCTGTGGAGTTATTTCGTTTCCTGGGCACCACCATGACCCAGGACCTCAAGTGGGAACCGACCATCAGCTCCCTCATCAAGAAGGCCCAGCAGAGGATGTACTTCCTGTGCACTTCCTGCCTGCACAGATGTTGGTGCAGTTCTACACGGCCATCATCGAGTCCATCCTCACCTCCTCCATCACCGTGTGGTTCGCTGGAGCCACAGTCAGGGACAAACAGAGACTACAGCGCATTGTGCGCTCTGCAGAGAAGGTGATCGGCCGCAGCCTCCCATCGCTGCAGGACCTGTACGTCGCCCGGGCTCGAGGCCGGGCTGGTCGTATCACTGCTGACCCCTCTCACCCTGCACATAGACTATTCCAACCACTCCCCTCAGGCTGGAGACTACGGTCCATCAGGACCAAAACTCTGCTATTTGACTCATGAACACTTTAGGCAAGGCAAGGCAAGTTTATTTATATAGCACAATTCATACACAAGGCAACTCAAAGTGCTGAACAAGATAGCATTAAAATCATAAATAATCACAGAACATTAAAACAAAAGATAAAAATATAAAATCCCTCAGTTGTATGCACAGCTAAACAGCACCGTTTTTAACTTGGTTTTAAACATTGTCAGAGAGGAGGCCTGTCTCACATCTTCAGGAAGATTGTTCCAGATTTTAGCAGCATGAATCTGAAAAGCAGCCTCCCCATGTTTAGTCCTGACTCTGGGCACTAACAGGAGTCCAGTCCCTGTGCTCCTCCTTTATCATCCACCTCTAACCTTATGACCGTCACTTGATGCTACTGTCACTTTACTGCACTCTACCGCACTCTTAAGTGTCTATTGTGGGCACCTAGTGCACTTGTATGTAGTAAACCAAATAAATGTATGTAGATTTTTATTTATGTATGCCTTGTTGTTTCTATTCTGTTTTAACTTGTTTGCACCGAGAGCAAAAGCAATTTCCTAGTTTGTGACTTCCTGTTACTCACATGGAAACAAAAAGGATTCTGATTCTGATTTATCTTTTAGGTGCTTTTCTTATTCCATATTTAATCCTGCTGGTCATTGAAGGAATGCCTCTTCTGTTTATGGAGTTTGCCATTGGTCAGCGCCTGAGAAAAGGCAGTATTGGAGTCTGGAGAAAAATCAACCCTTATCTGACTGGTATCGGTAAGTCAATAAACGTATCCACAGAAAACGTGTCACTAAAATAAATGCAAACTACAATTATGTATTTTCAGGCATTGCCTCCATGCTGGTTTCCTTGTTAATTGGGCTTTACTACAACACATTAATGGCCTGGATCTTGTGGTATCTCTTCAATTCATTTCAAAGCCCTCTGCCCTGGTCACAGTGCCCTCTTAACATCAACAAAACAGGTCGGACAAAAACACCAACTGTCAACAAATAATTGTATTCACCTATCATCAAATGAATAATATAAAGGCAATGATATTGAGTTCATCAAGACAAAAGCTGTTGATCTGATTTTGGTACAAAAATGAATCGTTTTGATTTTTACATAGATACTGTGCTAAACTGGAGCTTTGTTGTAGGTTACGCTGAGTGCCAGGAGAGCTCCACTGTGGATTACTTCTATTATAGAGTCACACTGAACACTACTACCTCAATAACCGACTCTGGAGGAATCCAGTGGCCTATGGTGGTTTGTCTGTTTGTGGCCTGGACAGGAATTGGGGTTTGCTACATCAGAGGAATAAGCAGCTCTGGAAAGGTTTGTCAATCTACGCATCCAGAGAAACATGTGATTTTTTTAAAAATGATATCATAATATACTTTAATGTCCTTTCAGGCAGTGTACGTCACAGCAATACTACCTTATATTGTTCTCGCAATCTTCCTGGTTCGTGGACTGACTCTTAATGGTGCTGTGACTGGAATTAAGTACCTCTTCACACCAGATGCAAGTTCAAAATACTGTACTTTATCAAACCTAAACGTATTGTGATCAAATCACTGTCAGGTGTTAAGTAATATACATTATATATTTTTTGCAGCTGACGGAGTTAGTGAACCCAACAACTTGGCTTGATGCCGGGGCACAAGTCTTTTATGCCTTCAGTTTAGCTTGGGGTGGACTGATTTCATTCTCAAGCTACAACCCAGTGCAGTACGAACCAATCTTTAATAAATATGTTCTATAACATTTCTGGTAAGCTGTTTTCACATTTATAAAGGTGACATTATCTTTTTTAAATTCATAATCCTAGCAACAACTGCAAACAGGATGCTATCTTCCTTTCTGCAATCACTGGCTGTACCTCAATCTATGCTGCTATGGTAACCTACACCATCATTGGCTTCAGAGCTACAGAGAAATACGAACAGTGCATCACTGCGTGAGTATGGCACAGAAAACACTGAACCAAACGGAACTTTCTTTCTGAACATTTGATCAAAGTGCATTTTTATGATTTCATAGCAATATTCAAACTCTTGTAAATGCACTTGATCTACCTGAAGGCAACATCACTCCAGAAAACTATAACGAAGCATTAGAATACTTAAACAGCACATACACCAACATGGTTATGGGGCTGGATATCATCCAATGTGACATCCAGAAGCTTCTCAGTGAGGTATATCATGGTTAATCTGTATCATAAAAGTCTAAATGTTTGTTCTAATTCTGTTCAAATATTCACTCCTAGGGGGTGGAGGGAACAGGTCTGGCCTTCATTGTTTTTACAGAAGCCATTACCAAGATGCCTGGATCTCCAATCTGGTCGGTCCTATTCTTTGTCATGCTTCTCTGTTTGGGGCTCTCCACACTTATTGGTAACATTGAAGGTGTAGTAGTTCCAATCAAAGATCTAGGAATGTTTCCGAAGACATGGCCCCAGGAAGCACTGAGTGGTGACATAAACCGACATAGCTATTAAAGAATAAAGAGTTAAAACATTTGCCATAATGTAAAGTGCATGTTTCTGTTTCAGTTGTTACATGTGGTGTTGCCTTTGTCATCACGCTTCTATTGGGTAACGCTCTTTGACAATTTTGATGGATCTGTTCCTCTTCTGTGCATTGGGTTGTTCGAGATGATTTCAGTTGTTTATATCTACGGAATTGACAGGTTTGTATGATTATCACCAACAATTTAGAATGTATATATTCTACAATGTACGCAATATTTTTTTTTTTTTATACAAACCTTACTTTATTTTTATTTTGTGATCACAGGTTCAATAAAGACATCAAGTTTATGATTGGATCCGAGCCTGGCTTATACTGGCAGATAACATGGAGATTTATGAGTCCTCTTATCATATTGGTCATTTTAGTTTTTTACCTCATCATTCAAGCCCAAGAACAACTTACTTATTTAGTCTGGGATCCAAACTCGGTAAGTCAACTTAAAGGCACACCGCGGACTTTGTGACCTAAAGAGTTGACACATATGAGTTATTTTATATGAATACTTGGGCCAATATACAGCGCTTGACACTTGCAATGCTCCGAGCGGGGCTGCCCTCTTGAAATACCGCCCATGTAAGTTTCGAGCAGACGGACCGTCTGCCACCAGGTCACGTGACTTGGAAGAAAGACTTGCTTTACGGCTACAGGCGCTGATATACTCATGGAGCTAAGGCTTTTGCTACTCATTTTTCACCTGCTCGACTCCTGGTCATGGCTGAGGCAAGGAAAAATTTTAAACCTTCGGAGGAGGCTAAAAAGAGGAAACGCGAAAGGGATCGTGCTGTAAGCTGCATGTCTGTATGAGCGCTGCTGTTCACCTGGTTCCTGGATGTCATCGACTGCAAAGATGTCATTCCACGCAGCACGAGCTAGACGCAGAACTCCCTCATCCAGGATATAGAAGTCCATGTGTGGTAGATTACTAATGCAGCGGTCTGGAGGCTGACCACAGCAGAGTCTCTCAATATCTGTAGGCATGTCTCTACAGTTTGAACACACACACCAGTGCATGCTGTCTGAATACACACTCAAAAGACACCGGCTGACTGTTTGTTGACTTTTGCGACAGTGCTGAGTTGCTTGTGGCCACTAGGGGCGCTAAACGTGAAAGTTGCAGGTCTAGCGCCCCTAGTGGCCAAGAGTTACACGGTGTGCCTTTAATATTTGATACATTTTATATTTGATATATTTGATAAATACTCACTACCAACTTCACGGCTCACAGGAAAACTTTCCAGTGATGGATACAGTTCCTTACCCATCATGGATCAATGCCGTCATCTTTTTATTAGCAGGAGTTCCCAGTCTGACAATGCCAATATACGCTTTATGTAGACTAATATGCTAATCAACTCATGAGTGTGAAATGGGACAATGCTCTTTCAAAAAGTTTTTATGTGTGTAATGGTGTTAGACAAGGAGGCCTCCTTTCTCCTTTTTTATTTAATATATATGTTGATGATTTGTCCACTGAATTGAACATGTGTAAAACAGGGTGTGTCATGGGAACCACCGTAATCAACCATCTCATGTATGCAGACGATCTTGTTATCATAAGCCCTTACAGTGCAGGCATGCAGGGACTGCTACAAGTGTTCTCAGCGTATGGTGTGACGTTTGACATAAAATACAATCCAACAAAGAGCAACATGATGATTGTGAGAAGCAGAGAGGATAAACATTTGACCTTCCCTGACTTTCAGCTCTGTGGTCGCTACACGTCTGCTCTGAGAAAGCACTGGACAGATACACTTAATCATATTTAAATCTGCCGGAAATGATACTATATATTTGAATGCATTGCCCTTCTATTGTTTATTTTTTATTTTTTGTATGGACCAATTTTATCTTGAGTCTGAAATAAAGATTAATAATAATCTATGTCACCATAAAAAAGAAAAAATAGTACTTTTAAAATTGGATGTATTTATGCCACTAACATGAAGTAATGTCAAGTACACTAATATAAAAACATGACTTTTTAAAAGACAAAGAACAAACAAAAAATACTCTATACACAAAGCTCCATTCAACCGTATTGTTTTTTTCTGTGTATGTTTGGTATAATTAAAATGGTTTAAAAGCTGCATTGTTTATGACCTTATAAAATGATTATGTATTTTTCATTTTGTTTAACCTCAATAAAGATAAACTGTTTATTGAGGTTAACTAGAACACTTTGGTTTATATGAGTTCACAGTCTGCATTTGAGACAGAAGTTGTATCAATTTGTACTGGTTATCCATTAATCTGGAGCCTAAACACATTTTTACCACAGGAGCGGTTTGGTTAGTAAATCTTACATAATGATTCCCTGCTTTCAGCACATAAACACATTTTCATCCCTGACTCAATCCTCCAGCTGATTGGGGCATAAAAGCACAACCCACAGAGAACACACACGACCAAGAACACTGGAGTGCAGGGCATCTCTGACGAGAAACAACTTCTCAATAATAGTCAAAGGACAAAGCACAAGCTGATACTGCACAACTATATATATACTTTAACTAAAGCCTGGATCAAACTGGAATAGTTGCAGCAGTGAAAATGGACAAAACTACAAAATCTGCAGATGAAGACAGACCAAAATGGGATAACAAGATCCAGTACCTGCTGACCTGCATTGGATTTGCTGTAGGACTGGGGAATGTTTGGAGATTTCCATATCTTTGTCAAATATATGGAGGGGGTAAGTAATCTTATTGCTAAAACTATACTTCATAAACTGTGAAGTAGAACATGTAGTTCATTGTTGTAACATTATACACATTTCTGTATTTCACATAGAAGCGGCGGTAGAACTAACAAAGTCACAATGAATTGATGAATATTTTTTAGACATTCACACTTTTATCAGTAAATATACTTTACTTTTGTTCAAATGTATTTTTTAACTGAAACGAAAAATACAAAACTTTGTTTCCATATAGATCAAATCTTCCAGTAAAGTTTTACGTTCAACTTTGGTTAAACATAATACAAGACATAATGAATGTACAATTAGCATAACAAACATCTGCACGACTTACATTATTTTCCAATAATATTTTTACTTTTACACAAGTAAATTTTAGCATCTGTATCTGTAATATCATTTAAGTAAACAATTAGCACCGAATGTATGACCAATGAATTGATAATGATCCTAAATATAGTGCAATATCATTCATAAGATTTGTGAAACATGGAAAATTAAAAGTGACGGCAGAGTGGTTTATATTTCTTTCAGTCAAATTGATCAGAAAATGGCTGAACAATGACTTTCTTATAATGCAGACCCGGGGTCAGGGTAAAGCAAACAGCTCAATGAAACCTAGCCTCCACACATAAAATCAGAGATCTACTTAAATAGTCCCAGTCTGAGTTTATTTCATGAATTATTGAGAGGTTTTTTGTAGATAATATTTGTGTCGTGTGCAGGTGCCTTCCTTATTCCATACCTTATAGCACTGGTGTTTGAAGGGCTGCCGCTGCTCTACCTGGAGTTGGCCATAGGACAGAGACTTCGTCTGGGCAGCACTGGAGTCTGGAACTCCATCTCACCACTTCTTGGGGGGGTCGGTGAGTGGCCCATTCATTCTTTTCAGGCTCTGAAATGTATGTCATAAAATTACTTATTTGAACATACTCTGGATTTGCTTTGGATTTTGTGTGTACAGGTATAGCATCAATGATTGTTTCATTCCTCGTGGGCTTATTCTACAATACTATTTTGGCCTGGGTTCTTTGGTACTTCTTTCACTCTTTTCAAAATCCCTTGCCATGGAGCACATGCCCACTTAATGTAAACCGCACAGGTATTTAAAGAACTAAAGAATAATAATAATGCAATGTTATTAATTACAAATGATAAACAAAAAAAGCATAGATTTTAAATACAATATACATTCTTCTAGGTTTCAGTGAGGAGTGTGAGAAAAGCACTTCTGTGAATTACTTCTGGTACCGTGAGACGCTGGGTATTACTAGTAACATTGAGGAGAGTGGCTCGATACAGTGGACGATGGTTGTATGTTTGGCAAGTGCTTGGTGCATTGTGTACATCTGTTTCATCAAGGGAATCCAGTCAATGGGAAAGGTCTGGAGACTTACAAAGTGCCAAAGCACTGTTTGTTTGAGGAAAATAATGAAATCATCTCTTATTTTTTAGGCTGTTTATGTCACAGCAACATTCCCATACCTGGTCCTGACAATATTCCTCATCAGAGCCATGATGTTACCAGGGGCAGTGGATGGAATAAAGTATCTCTTCACTCCAGATGTCAGCTGGGTTTATGGCTATATTATTTATAATTAACCTAACCCAATAAAATCATGAGAATTATGTTTGTGACAGTGGGAGATTCTGAAGAACCCTCAGGTGTGGCTTGATGCTGCCACACAGATCTTTTTTTCTCTTTCAGTGGCCTTCGGTGGACTTATAGCTTTTTCTAGCTATAATGATGAAAAGTAAGCATATCTGTTGTGTAGACTATATAGTTACACATTGAAAATTAGTACAGTCCAATGTTGTTGATACATACTGTACTCAACAATGCTATTCAAATACTAGAAAAGTACTCAGAGTGCAGACCTCAGCCACGAGGCACAGTTCCATTCCTTTACAATCCAGATTCAAATCACCACTAAAATTGAAAATTGCTGTTCACTGGGCAGCATTTTTTTCCTCAACCTTTCTTCCAAATCCTCTCACATTTTTTTTAAAATTGCTGGTGATCACTTGACCTGGACAAAGTATAACATACTTATTAATACAATTTCCATGGTAATCTGTAATAACTAACTGATTAAGGTAGTGGCCAGATGGCATCTGCCAGTCTAGAAAAAAATGTAACATGAAAAACAGGTTTTGCATTTTATTCCTAACAGAAACAATTGTGAGAGGGATGCTGTTTTGGTTGGCGTTATCAACAGTGCCACATCGCTGTATGCCTCTATACCCATCTTCTCAATTCTGGGATTCAAAGCTACAAGTGCTTTCAACGCTTGTCAGGATGAGTATGTAATGTGCATCATTTCTTTTATTATGTATAGTTGTGGTACATAATAAAAAATATTTGTTAAATTTCCTCTGCAGCAACATACTGGCTTTAACAAACCAGTTTGATTTTTCGGATCAAAACATCACAAGAGAAAACTACAACCATTGGTTTAACTATTTAAACAACACATTTCCAAGTACAATTTCTAGTTTAAATCTTCGAACCTGTGACCTACAAACATTCCTTGACCAGGTACAATAACTTCTCATTTCTTATCTAAATTTTTCATGATGGTTGAATTTTGTTCTTGCCTCCCTGTACTCTGCAAGAGTACATTTTATCCTGTACTGACTGAACTTTGTGAGTGCATGCTTTCCTTTTGTCTAGAGTGCTTCTGGGACTGGACTGGCATTCATTGTGTTTACTGAAGCAGTGATTGAAATGCCAGGTTCACAGATATGGGCAGTCCTGTTTTTCATCATGCTCTTTAGCTTGGGTATCTCCTCAATGTTTGGCAACATACAGGGTGTTCTTACACCTATCAGTGACCTCAAAATACTTCCAAAGTGGCTCCCAGAGCCACTTGTAACAGGTATACTGTACAAACACTTTATGTCATACTCAACCGCTGTCATATGAATGAACCACTAAATAATGTTAAAAATATTTTTTTCCCCCCAGCCATTGTATGCATCATCTGCTTTTTGGTAGCACTTATATTTACCCTAGGTTCTGGAAATTACTGGTTAGAGGTGTTTAATGCCTATGTTGGCTCAGTACCTCTGCTTATAATTGCATTCTTTGAAATTATCGGAGTCATCTATGTACATGGAATGAAAAGGTAGTCTTCATCAAACTTTTTGAATGAAAATCTGAAAAGAACATATTCTGATGAGACATTTTACCGTTTTCTTTTAGGTTTAGTGATGACATCTTGTTCATGACTGGGAAAAGACCCAACATTTTTTGGAAAGCGTGTTGGATGGTGATCAGTCCAGTAATGCTTTTGGGTGTATTAATTGCCTATGTAGCCTTACAAGCACAGACACGCCCCACCTATCCCACCTGGAACCCATCATATGCAAGTATTGGGTAAATCCTAATTGTAGTGTTTGCTCTTGCTTATATTTTATTTCCTTTCCCCAGGAGTTTTTTCCTCAAAACCAAATTCTGGAGTATCCTGACTGGGTCTTTGCCATAATCATCCTTCTGAGTGTGTTACCTATCATCTCCATCCCCATAGTGGCTTTATATGGACTAATCCGCAGGGGGAAAAGGAGGTCCTCCACTAGGGTTGAATTCAGCGCCTACAGCAACGGTGGTTTTGAATCAGAGTATAGACAAAACAGGACATAAAGCACTTAGTGTAAACACCATTATGTCATGGACACATCATCCTGAGTGCTGATTGTTATCGCTACAATATACCATACATACGGCATTAATGACCTAGTCAGCAATGTCTACACAGTAATCAAACAAAGTTTATTACTTCACTTATTTTAAAAATGTTGTGTTCGAACATTTTTATCAAATGTATATCACAGAGTGCACTGCCTATAGTAGAATTTCCACAATTATTTCTGCCAATTTGATTTGTGTTTTATATTATTTTTATTAATTGCAAAAAGATACACACCAAGTTTTGGTACTTCTTGTCTACAAGAAGACACAGTCTGGAAAAGTACCACTAGACCATCCCTTTGTAAGGTGTGTTTTTACAATTAAGGTTTATCACATAAGTGGTTTATGTCCAAGAATGTTTGCAACTTTTGTGGCGCCGTACCATTTATTTGGCATATGACAAAGATTAAGTATCTGTTTGTCCTTTAAGCACAACATCTGTAGAAAGCAAAAAAGGGCACTGGTAAATCTAAAAACTGGTAAAGTGAACTTTAAAATCGCAAACTGTTTGCAACCACGGAAAAGCCTCTATGTCCGAATAACTAAAAAGTCTTCAGGAATCCTACAGCCAACAGCTTGTCTAACTCTGGCCACTCTCAGATCACCAAGGCGTTGCTGCAGACTCCGTTTTTCTGGCAAAAGTGAAAAACAGTGTTAAGTCTCAAACTGACATTTTGATTTATTCAATGTTAACATACTCTGTTGGAGCCGGGAAAGGACAGCCTTGTACACAGAGCGGTGTTGAGACAAGACGACCAGAAAACAAAGGCAGAAAATCAACTCCACTGCTTCATATTGAATAACGCCCGTTTGTGCTTTGCTACCCAAAATCTGTCCTGGAGACAAACAAACCATCATAAATGATCATAATTGTTGAAGCTTTAATTTCCATTTCACCTTTGTTGCGTTTCCTGATCAGCTGATTGGCATACTCTGCCATGTCCCAGATCATTTGCAGGAAGTAATTGGAGTTCTTAGCAACCGTTTGAGCAAAGGGCAAACTCTGGGCACACACGTGGAACCTAACCAAAAAAGCGTAAGGGAAATCAATTCAACATATAACTGGATGATGCAGAAGCTGAATTATTTACATTTACAGATAAAAAACAAGGACATTGCATTTCAGCTCAGTGCAGATATTGACTGAACATTCATTTTTATGAGGATGTTATCTTTCAAGGCCCATTTATTAAAGGTCAGACACAACTGACATTTATTTCATAACTCATCCGTCAATAATCAAACAGTAACTAATAGTGAATATAGTGAACAGAAATAATGCTGCCGTTTACCTGCACGCATGAAGAAGGACCATCTTGTAGATGTTTTGATAGACTGCCTCAACAGAGTTTGTCTGTAAAGTATTAAAAACATTACACAAAGTAGTAATCTGAATATGTACGGCAAAAGAAAACTGAGCATCTGCAGTCATACAAATGTAGTCATTTAATTTCATTGCTAATCAAAGACCTGGATAAAAATGTTTTATGCCATAATAAAAACATATTTGACAACATGTGGTCTGATCTTTGACAATTTTTTTCTGGACCAGCTTTAGGTACATAGTGTATCATTTTTTTCAAATCTGTCACACACACACACACACACACAAATGTGATTGATACTAAAACCTTTAAGTCTACAAACAGAGCATGACACTTGAGTCGAAGAATAGCCATCAGCTTCCGCTTCATTTGTTGACCCGCTGAATGGAAAGAGCCCAACGTGAGGCTGTAGCGCAGTGATAAGCCTGCATAGCTGAAAGAACGATTAGATCAATATAATTCATAACAATAAAAAGCAAAACAATGCTTCTAGATTCACATTATAGTTTAGGATACAATTCCATAGATTACTTTCCCAGAAATGAGGAGTAGAGATTGAGGAATACTTTAATAGTGTGGTAAATGTTTATATGAAAGTTCAAAGTACCATCATGATTTTAGTCATGCTTAACAGATACACTTCTCACGCAAGACTATCTATAATAAATAAACATTAAAAACTGTTTTCACCTGGAGTAATCTTTGTAGACGTCCAGGGAGTGAGTGTCTAAGAGCAGGCCACACCAGGGGAACATGGAGCGAGGGGGCAGAACTCGAATTTCAGGACCAATACCAGCCACAGCTTCAGTAAACTTGAAATTTACAACTACTTTCTGTGGGTTGATGGCCAGACCATACTGTGGAACTCCGGGCAGCAAAATCCTTTTAAGAATCATGTTTTATAAACCAACATTGACAACATGATAATCACAAATGGATCCATACTTCAGAAACGCTTGAGCTTCGTTCAGGTCTGGTGTGATGAGGAGAAAATCATCCACAAATCTCATTAAGTGACTGTCATAGAAAAAAAACAAAATACATATTACAGAGTTGAATTACTGCCCTCTGTTGTTGGCAATAGAGTATTACAGATTGCTTGCAGACGTACCTTTTATTTTGACTCTGTTTGGTATTTTGGCTACCAAACAGCATGTTCTCCATATGACCATAGCAAAGGCAGCACAGTAGGCTGGAGACAACGGATCCTTGGGGAATTCCTCGGCATTGGCGGTATGTCCTGTAAAATAGGGAACATCATTATTAGGAAAAAAATAAAAATAAAATTGTGAAGCTTGTTGCCGATAACTCACTTTTTCCCAAACTGAACAATGCATCCAGTGAGCATTTGGGTAAAAAACTCCAATGCATCCTTGCCGCGAAGATCAGAAGAAAAGTGCTGGAAAATTCAGGAAACCCCTCTCATATTAAAGCAATTAAAAAGAACATTTTCAAGTCAATGTAAAGGGGAAAGAAACTTTTGAATATGGCTTTGTTTAAAAAGATAGTAGATAGGGAGTTGAATAGCCAAGGACAGTGTCTCCCAAAGTGGGGTCCGTGGCCCCCTGGTGGGCCGCGAGGGTATTGCAGGGGGGCCGCAAGAGGTCATAAAAAATAAAAAATAAATGTTTTTTACAATTATTGTTTGTTAAATTAATAATATTTTGTTTTTAATATTAACATATTTGTGTTCATTATTTGAATTGAATAATTAAATTGTAATCATTTTTGTATTACAAAATGGGGTGCGTCATTTACATGTTTGTAGCAGAGGCTATTTCCCCCAAATAAAAAAACCAGAAGAGCCTATTTTTAACATTGTCTTATTGGTTATTATTTGGGGGGCCGCGCAGACCCGTCAGATTTTTAAGGGGGCCGCGGTGTTACTGACTTTGGGAATGGCTGGCCTGGGATATACCAGTAAAAACAAAGGGCTATAAAGCATGGGTGCCCAAAGCTAAGTGGGGGCCGTGGTCCTGGCAGAAGGTCCAATTAAAAGGGTTGATATTTTGAAAACGTTTTAATTTTGAATAATTTTGGAGACTTTAGTGACTTGTCTATTATCTATTCTGTAAATCCGTAAATATCAGTGCTGAGTAACTTGTAAACAAATTGGACAGAAGAGTTTGCCCTCTGAACTCTGAAACATTATAATCATACAAAAGATAACATAACATAATAGGGAAAATTGTAACAAAATACCTGCTCAACAAGTATGGAATGATGAATTTTCCCTGACTTTTGCAGCGACGTCACAAAACTCTTCATATTGCTCGAGCCCATGTTATCTTCAAGCAATACTGCCTAGAGTTTGGGATAACATGTTCGTTAAAATAGCATTCTTGGATGTGTAATCACTGTGGTTATACCTCTCTCACAAATGCCTTTTTCAGACCCTCATGGGGATCTGACCAGACCTTGGAATAACGCCGCAAAGTAAAAGTTTCATCGAGAAATGGTCTCAGCGTCTGGGTTACAACCTCAACAAGTTTGTCATGAGGAAGACTTTCATAAGCTCCACTCACATCCACCTGACAAATAGAATACACATCAATGCAACAGTCCTCCAGATATACAGAAAAACAGTATCAAACCTTAACAAAGAACAGTGGCTGTGGTTTCTCTTTTTGTTGTATTGCCAGCGAACTCATCACTTTGTGGATTTCAGTCATTCCCCAAACAGTGGAGCCCAGGATGGAAGGGGAGGAGCGCACACATGTCCTCAGCATATCAAGCAGGTCACGGACACGGCCTCTGTATAGCTGAAGAGGAAAGCATCCATCATCCACCTGAATGAGACTTTACATGTTTAAAAAAAAAAAGAGTAAACATTAGTACTCTTGTCTTGACGTCCGATCCAATAACTCTTGTGATTGGCCTCATGCCCTCGCTCTTGGGCATGAAGCGAAGACGGGAGATGACAGTAGATTTGGGTAGTAAGGCCACCTCAGCAGCGGTCAACTCTGTCATCTGACCTTTTGACAAATGCACTCTGAAACGGATTGTATTCATTAAACAAACTGTAAATTGCAGATGATGCCAGACTTGGCTTACCTGAAAGCCAAGTCTTGAAGTTTGGTCCAGACATCTTGTCTGTAGAATCTCAATGCATTCTTCTGTCCCACACTCTCAGTGACATAAAAGCAGGCTTTAACAAGACCCACAACATATCCATCAAGAAGCCATGCCAGGAACTGACCCAAGATCTGACTTCGATATGCAAGCTCACTTGGAGGGACATGACCTAAAGGGAAATAATATTTATTATAACACAAAACAAATAAAACTATCCCATAAACCTTGGTTTATATGTATGTGTATAGAAACACATATATCTTACCAGTTTTGCTTATCTTTATCCAGTCACAGTCATTCACTCTCATCTTCCATAGGAGGTCAGAAAGGGAAAGCTTTTCAAACTTCCCAGCGGACACAAAACGTCTGACTTGAGACAGAAAATGAACACGGTTTTGGTCCGAACCCCACAAAGCCTGCGGAATGACGGCTGAGAGGCACTCCCGGACAAACAGGTAGACCCTATGGGCTGCACAATGTTGAGACAAAAGCTCCCCTTGGTGAAGAGAGGGGCAAAGCTTCTGCAAAGTACGTCCATAAAGAAACCTTCGGTGGCGCCTCAGCAGCTAATTGAACAGTGACACCATGTTGAAAAATCTTTGAGGTAGTTTCTTTGGCTTTCTTTGCACTCCATTTAAATAACCAAGACCCTCAAAGAAGATGATTCTGAGCAGATCTTTCCCTTGTAGACGTTTAATCCCCACTGCGTCTTTCTTCTTTCTGTTAAGGAGGAAACCACGCATGCCCCTGCCTCCATAGAGGAATCCTAAAGTGCGGATGAAACATTGTGATGGAGGTAAAGGGGGATAATTCCCTGTTCTCCAACTCGCCCCACCCTCATCCTTCAAACTAGAGCCACTGGTATTTTCCAAAGGCTTTGTAAATTGTGTCTCAAACACAGGCTGCTCTTCTGACACATTTCCACCATCAACAAGTCGTCTTTTTGCTGGTCTAAGTAAATCTTCATTTTCACGTGAATCCATTTTTCTTTTCCTTTTGCTTCTACGACTCTTACAATCCTTTTTACTCTTGTGCAGATTTGTACACTTTTTTATTGTGGAGGTTGCTTTTCTTCCCTTTTTGTGTTGGGTTTGAAGAGTCATTCCTGGCACATTCAATGTCATGGAAATGCGATCATAAACTGGAAGACCACACACCTGGAAAAAACAAGACGGGGGAACTGCCACAAATATGGAGCAGGTTTCCAGAAGGTAGCGGGTAATGTCAGTGCCAAGCCGTTTGGTGACTTTCTTCCACAGATCACTGCCATGAATGTAGGCAGCACTTTGAGTAATGTCCCCTTGGAATTTAAAAATGTCAGCATTCCTCTGTTGTTCATTATGAGGCAAGAACTTGTATCCATGTATGAAGACATTATTTTTCCTCTTGCGCTTCAGATTATTCAGAACAAATGCCAGCAGTTCAGGCAAAGTGCAGATCTGTAAAATGAAAAAGTAATGAGATATTGCATTAGATGATTTTTATAATTGACATGGTGACTTTTAGTGCATGTATTGTAGAGCTGCAACTAACGATTATTTTGTAAATCGATTAATCTATTGATTATTTTTACGATTAATCGAGTAATCGCTTGGCTGTGAATTGTGTAGAAAAAAATTATCTTTTCATCACAAAAAGCTAAAGTGGCAACACTCGAGGACGTATTGATGGCGTAAACTTAAAGTAAATGTTTGTAACAGGCTCTTTGTGCTAATTCTGCTATCTGATTGGATGAGACAGACAGATATTCATGAAATTATAAAAACAAAGTCGGTTTTAATCAAAAATACTACATTTTCATGTCATTTTTGCTCTGTTTGAATCCGTGTGAATCAGAAAACGATTAATCGATTACTAAAATAGTTGTCGACTATTTCAATAATCGATTAGTCGTCGATTAATCGATTAGTTGTTTCAGCCCTAATGTATTGTATTCGTCCAAACAGAATGAAGCCTAATGGAAGCCATTTCAGTTAGGAGTAATAACACATTAGTTGGACATTGCATTTACTGGCAACTTAGAGGCTTAATTTTATGTTCAATCTGCAAAATACAGATACAGTACAATGTACCTATAGGTAGGCTGATATAAAGTATATGAACGACATGTGCGAAGATATCTGTGCATGTCCTCAAACATTTAAATAACCATCATTGATGTAATTAATAGAGTATTAGTAAACTGAAACTAAAATCGTTTTAGTTATTATCATATCACATCACTATAATGTTTGTTTGTTTTTGTTTCGTGTATTGCAGCATTTTCAGGTTTGAGGCAACCAAGCAATCTGGTCAATATCAGAAACCCTTACGATGCATTACGATGGTGACTCGTAAAGTAAGCGAAAAGTCAGGGGAGGACATGCAGCCTTACCTGGTTACTGCTCGGCACCTGTTGCAGCTCTTTGTCGGAGCAGACGTAAACACCGCGGATGAAGGTTGAGAACCGTGAGCTGTCAGACTGTTCAATGACCTGAGATTTGTGCCCCTCTTTGAACACGATGCCATCAGCAAAGTCCTCCAATGTCTGCACCCTGAGATAAAGTGACCGCAGGATCTTCAACACTTCGGACAAGTCTGTAGAAGTCATGTTAAATGACTGATAAATGTGGCTGCTAGCAACGCCTCCATGTCCCTGCTGGAGTCAGTCGGTCTGCTTTTTAGCGCCACGTGTGAGGCAGGGCCAATAGGAAGTGAGCTTACTGAAAACAACCAATCCAACTCCAGTATACTCACACATCTGCTATGAGAGGCCCAATCAAAACTAGAGTATGTGTGTTGTTTAAAAAGTATGCAGATCATCCTGAAATCACTGTATGTATTTCACACATAGACTGTATGGACGTTGAATGTAAAGTATTCCCTAATTCTTTTCTATTTATTTATATTATGTAGGAGACAGAGAGACAGCACGAGGTAATCTGATAAAGCAGTTTGTAAATCGCTTATTTTACACCTTTTTATTATTGTCCTTTTCTTACCCCAGATCTACTGCCCAAGGACATGAGTGCGATTTTCATCAACGTTAGCAGGCTTATTTAGACACAAAGCGACACTTCAGTTTAGTGTTAAGCATAAATATTTATTTGGAAAATAAACTGGCTATAAAGTGCATACATGTAAACAGTTGTGTCACACGAGAATAGTTCTTCTAGTTTTTTGTCTTTAGGCCTACACAAATAATGGAGGTTATTATGTTGATTTATTACAGTTGGTCTGGTCTTCAATTGCAGACCTAGAAAACAATTAAGTGTATTCGTTTATTCTTTAACCATGACCGTTTTGCAATAACCCACCTGTATGCTGTCAGCTGTTTATCAAGTCTTTCTTTCAGTTCCTTCATGTTGTTGTTCTTTGCTTCATGGTTTCTTAGCTCCATCTTTAGTTCTCTGTAGCTCTCATCCAAAAAGTTTACAGTTTCCTTCAAATATATTTAAGTTTATTGCAATTTTACTTGATTCTGGTTCTTATTTGAACAATTGTATCATCATTTGTAATTACCTAAATCATAAGATAAGATAAGATGAACCTTTATAGTCCCACAGTGGAGAAATTTCAGTGGGTACCTACCTGGTATTGTCCCATTTCCTCTCTTCTTCGGAAACTCATTATACGCAGCTTTTCTTCTGAACACACTTTCTGGAGTGTCAGTTTCTGTATCTCCTCTCTTAGAGGTATTAACTGGACTCTCAGCTCCTGGGTCTGCTCTTTCACCTTTGTCAAAGCATCCATAGCTGTGTCTCTCCTCTTCACAAGAGCCGTCAAAATAGGTTCATATCTGTCCGGAACACCAATAGAAAGTGAGACGTTGAAAATAACACTTGAGTGGGTATGATTTCCTGTTAAAAACTGGCATCACACTCACCGTTCTTCCATTTTCTTGAGGCTGTCTTGCAGATATTGTTGTACGTCACCACACAAGTCCCTCCTGCACTGCTTTAGCTCTTCTTGAGGGTCACTCAAATGTCTGGTAGTGACTTGATTAAACTGTTCCTGTAGATTTAATAGCTGTTGTTTATGTTCTTCTTGCAGTTTAATGCTCTCATCCCTCATCTGGACTTCTGCTGTACTTAGCTTCTCCTAAAAAAATATGCACAACTATAAAAATGTGACTACCGACATGAGAGTATATGTTTATTACCTTTTCTCTTGTAAGAATCTCCACATGTTGTTGTTGTGCTTTAAGTGTTGCCTGGTTCTGGGCACATGCCTTGGCAACAACAAAGAGTTTCCTCTTTAGCCACCATAGGTCGTTGTGTAGCCCTTGTCTCTCCACGTTGACCTGCCATAGTTTTCTCTCTTCCTCTGCCCGCTTCTGCCTTAAGTTTTCAATTTCACTTTTGCTTTTTTCTCTTAATAGATGTTCTGCCTCTTTTGCTTTTACAATCATTTCTGCCACTATTGCACTGGCTTGATCCCCGTTTTTTCCCTCCTTCCAATTTGTTTCAGTAGTCTGATCCTGTTGGATGTATAGTTTCATTACCTCAGCCTGCAACTCGTTCCTTTTCTGTTCCAGGCAGTGGACTTCATCAATGCACTCCTCTAGTTTAGGGCCTAGAGATTCTATTGCAGACACACCACAACTTAAACCAGTCATGTCAACCTTTTCTTCATTAAAGAAGTGTCCGTTTCCAGCAGCCTCTTGTGTGCAGTCTTTGTCACTGCTTGTCTCCTCACACATGATTTGTGTCCACGACTGAGGATGAAATTCCCCTTCAACTTTTACATGCCTGCCAACATCAATGCATTTCTCTGGACTCTGCACTTTCAAACTTATGGCTGTGTCCCCACTGTGTGCGTTTTGTGTTAGTACGCTTGCCGCTCTCTTCCTTGAATAAACCTCGCTTGTGCTGTCTCTGTGATTACAATAGTTAATTGTTGTTGTGTGAGTTTCCACCATTGCAGAGTTGCTGTACTTCAGTGGTGTCATTGTTATTTCCTTAAAGAGTTTGGGGATGTGTACATACTCCTCATTGGAACTCCAGTCTTGTGGCGCTGGCTTATAATCCACACTCATGTCTTCCTCAGTGTTCTCCAGTGCGGTTAACATGTTTACCAGCTGGCCTTCATATTCAGCCATGCTCTCACTGAGTTTATTCCCTGCAGACGTCAAGGGCATTGTAGAGGAACTGCATCCTTCTTCCCTACATTTGTCAATGCTGTTTTGTGGATTACCTTCTCTTGAAAGGTCTTCTGCATATGTGCAGCTTGTGGACATGTACTCTTCATTCCAAGTGCTTTTGTTTGTATCTGTAAGTTGTTCACAATTCTTAAGAAGATCATCCATTTCTTTCAAATAGGGCCCTATAGACAAAGTTTGGCCCTCATCTATTTCCATTAAGTCGTGGTCAGACTGAGTCGCTGTCTGTAGAAAGTTTACATGAGCTGCTTCAACATTTTCCTCTTTGATAAATAGGCCGGTACTCAATACATTCTCAGTATGAGTTTCCATGTTTGTAGTCTTCAAGTCTAGCAAAAAGAAAATTAAATGGATGATGATCATTGCATTTTTGCGGCATCTGTGTTTGATTTAACACTATTAGTAGTAATTCATAAACGTTCACAGCAAAGTAATCAAATGGTGTTTATGTTACATCTAGTATATTGCCATGCCAAATGACCCAGTTTTATTGCACATGCTAGCTGTTGCCAGCCTTTTGTTACTAAATACCAATCCTTGTTGATGACACTACAACAGATTTGAAGTTAGAGCTTCTGCCAAACTTCTGTTCAAGCTATGCGCATGTCATTATCACATATAAAACTATGTTGAGCTGTGCAAAATTAGCAAGCCCTCCTGCAGCTGCGGCCGTAGTGGCCAATTTAGATTCCCAGGGGATGCACAGAAGTTATGAGACCCACCCCAAACAAGATTGTGCCTATTATTTTTAAAGATAATAAGTTCTAAAGTTTGAAAAAGTTTTAGAAAAAATATTTGATCGTTCAAAAACATATAAGATCTATAATGAAGAGTAGAAGCCTTATAGTCTTTTATGGACTGTTATCTGCCAACGTTGATCAAATTGATCAAGTAAATTATTTGTGTTTATTTTATTTTAAGGGGAGGCCCAAGGATAAGAAGGCATGACCGTGGCAATCTTTTTGTGCCAGACTTGCACCAAATGCACTAAAGGTATGACATTTTCAAACATGAGCAATTTCTTACTAATTTACTATACAGTATGTTTTAAAATTGAATTTTTTTTTTTAGATCTACCGTTCTGTTTTAGCACACCACAGTGGTCACAGTTGAAATAATAATACAGTGATAAATAGAATCAGAACTTACTTGTCTGCCCCTGTCTGTCATCACTGGTGTAAATCAGGTCAATAGAAGCTGAGATTGAGACAGCAGAGTGGAGAATGAGCGGGAGTAGTGTGCTGTGAGTTAAGTAGGAGAGGGTTAGGACAGCTGACCCGGCCTCCTTGCTCTCACAGGCCTGCTATGTGTGACCATGACTACCCCAAGTCTGTTAGGTGTATTAATATCCTCTGTGCATGGGCAGGGATCATCCATAAATACTAAACCAAGAAACATGAAAGACGTAGATCAGCTTTGAAATGACTGCATCACTAATTCACGTATTCTATCAACATTATAACATTATCAGTTTTTGTGTAACTATGACAACAGCCTTGGTTTGTCCTAAACTTTCCAATGTCTCTCATGCCTTCTCATTATCAAGTAGTCTTTAAATAACTCCTGTGCTCCTCCTTCCTTCCTATGGGAGGATTTATTTTCACTTTAACTGTTGACCCCAACAAAGTAGAGAACAGGTGGTCTTGTCTGTTGTTGATCCTGTTGACTGGACAATACAATGTACAATAGCAGCTGGAATGGAACAAAGCCAGAAGAGGGCGACAGTGTGGAACTTTTGCTTTTAAGTTATTTCTGTCATATTGAATGTTTGAATGTGTTAGTGTGTGTGCATACAGTAATGTCTGAAGACAGTAATGCCTTTTTATTTCTTGTTAATAATTGGTATGTTTATTCTAGTCGACTTCATTCTGTCTGGCAGTTCACTCACTCTGGCAAAGTGTACTATAATGACAGCAGCCTCATGTAATGTTTATGTTTCAGAGCGCGGCCAGCTGCCATCTTCACACTGTCATCAGCCTGACAATGTTTGCACCAGGTCCCTGTTTATCCTCTTACCCGATCAACACAGACACAAGTACAAGTAGTGTACAATACGGGATTGTTTCTAATCAAAATTCTTTAATGAAATGTGATGGTATAAAATCAAATGGAATTAGAAAATACCAACATTGACTATATACATATGTTTAATTATATGCTTTTAATTTTAACTTTTTTATGTTTTAACATTGTACCTTTTGTAAATGAAGAGTCTGATAGTTCATAAAATTGAGAAGCATGTGCGTAAATCTATAGTATAGGAGAAACAAAATCATAACTGATGCTTTTTATAGTCCTTTCATGTGTGTGCATGGTGAGAATGTTGCAACATGATGTGCCTTCAGTAAAACAGGATTGTCCAAAACTAACACGTAGCTTTGAAATTGCTTTTGATACTTTCTTGGAAAAGGCTGATCTTGTTGGATCTGAGAATATAAACAGTGTGGCCTTGGATGCTTCACCGCTGGAAATAAAAGGAATGCTATATCCCACATCTCAGAGTGTGAATCTGGTGTGTGAATGACTGGTGGTGGTGCCACCAGTGGGGTTTGGCAGGCCTGCTTTCATCAGTCTGCCCCGAGGCAGTGGCGGTTACAATAGCAGCTTACCATTGCGGTGAGGAGTGAATGAATAATACATTGAATTGCAAATGTAACTTCATTCAATATTTTAATTGATGGCTGTGTTCAGGTACTGTTGGGTTTTTGTTGTGGAATTTAATTAATAAATTGGTTTATTTAATAGGGAAGGCACAAGGAGATTTGCTACATTACAAAGCAATTCTATTATTTGGTCCCTTACACAAAAAATCAAGAGACACATTAAACATATACAGTAGTACAACAAAAGGCATACAGTAATCCATGTATCACTTCTTTCAGGAGAACAATGGATGAATGGAAAGATGAGCAAAAAACAATTGCAGCACCACACCCCTCAGGAATTCCTGCTGTAGAAATATCACATGCACTGTTTTTCAACAGAACTGTCTCTATTATCGAAACATATATTTTCATCCTCTGCAAGAAAACAACAGGCAATTATACCAAGCATGTTCTTTAGATTTTAGACTAATTTGAAATTGAGCCCGCCATGAATTTAATGTTTGGAATAAACATTGGTTGATTATTCTTACCAATATATTTTTTCTATCATGTTTGTTGACATCCTTGCCAGAAGCTGGAGCAAAGGGAGTGCCAGATTCAACTTGCCCATGCAGTGACACTTGACTCATAAAAAAGATGGACGGCTAAAGAGTTAAACACATAACAATTCCTCTGCAGTCCTGAACACAGCAGCATCACTAAAATAGTCATCAGGAAAAGCTAATCCAGGGTCAACAGTGCAGCCCTTTCTCCATGACATCACAGCGTTTTAGCAAAAACACCGTAATGCTGAAGTGTTTTGTTGGAGGGTTTGCAGCTGAGACCACCCTGACTAATGAGGTTTTCTGTAGTTAGGGTTCATCCAAGCTTGTGAAATGTTGCTGTTGGCGCTTTTTAAAAGGGTAACTCAATGGAACTTCACCTACAGCTTTGTTAAGTTTTACACCATATGTCTACTTTCCTGCAACTCATGTTTATGCTTTTAATGTCACATAAAAGGAAAAAATTGTCATTGAATGTTTTGAATGTTTTGCCACCAGGGCCATTTGGAGGAATGTGATCGTAAAGGCAAAGATGCAGGTCCCCACACGCTTGGACAGGAAACAACAGAGGGCATTAAGGTCATTGTGTTTTCTTTTACATTGTGTTAAAATGACAGCGTGTAAAAGCATTCTGGGAAGATGTTCTCCAAACCCGCTTTCAAAGGTAAACCATTATTTTGTGTGTGTGTGTGTATGTGTGTGTGTGTGTATAGAGCCGTGCCCAAAATCTAAAGTCGAATCTATACATCTATAAATCTATATTGAAATATAGCAATATCTCGTTTGGTAGACAGAGATTACTGACACGTGACTTAAAATCGACTGAAGAAAATTTTTCTCGGGAGACTTGGAAATCAATAACAGGAAATATGGGGTTAAAAAATATATATATTGTTTGTATCTAGAGCAATAATCTGAGGCATCCATTATATGAAAAATATGTAAACATTTAAACATAACCACAGAGGCAAAAGATGGGCACTAAGAAGACGATGAGATTTTGGTCAATATATGCGTGGTTGTTGTTGGTATAGTACACACTTGGCAAATGCAAGTACAGTCTGTGAAAGATTTATTGTCAAAGTTTGGCCAAGCTGTGCTCTCGTCTTCTCTTAAGCACCTGCCACAGAGTTTGATGGGCGATGTTTTACACTTATATAAGAGAATAGTCTAAAACTGATGAGATAATAATAATAAAATTATAATTTGCCTCTTTGACCAGAACGAGTTGCCACTCCTGATCTGAGGCAAATCTTTAAGCTCCCTATGCTCCATATCTATTATCACACACTTTAACTTTACCTAGACATGTGTCTGTGCATATCAAAAATTAGATCAGTATCAGATTTCAGAGTTTCTGAATAGTCATGTAAACAGACACATGTTTTATAATCGTTAATTTTGTGCACGTAAACACACATCACAAATCAGAACTAATTGCTTGTAATGTTAATAATACCCAATAGATAGATAGATAGATACTTTATTGATCCCTGTAGGAGAAATGCAGATGTCCAGCAGCAGAAAACACATCCATATAAACACATAAAGTACATCAATTATAAACATTTCTAAATAACTACCTAACAATAGTGCACATTTTTAACTCATACAGGTCTGTTGTGCTGTCTGACAGCCGGAGGAACTAAGGATCGCTTATGCCTGCTACAAAGAGATTGTGTCTCTGAACAAAAAAAAATATTTTCACTCGAATTGATCAAATCCTAATTATATTTATTTCCACATGCCTGGCACATACTATTGCTGACCTTCTTGCCAATTTGCAAACTTGCAAATACATGTGAAAAATACACCAAGCATTTGTTGTAAGTTTGACAAGTTTGTAATTTTTTGTTTTTTCTATGAACATTCCCAAAAATATATTTTTTTTCTTTCCTTTTTTTGTATTTAGCATTGTCATAGAAACTCTTGCCACATAACGTCAACAAGACTCTGACTCATTTAGACCCCACCTTTTTCCCTTGCCAAAAGTTAAACTCAGAATGATACTTTTACTGTGTTTTGGATATGTTAAATTCCATTTATTTTTGTCATTACTAACACAAATATTGCCACATCCAACAACCATGTACAGTATATCCCCCAATGATTCTATGAACGCACCCTTTCTGTTACCTATTGTGCCCTAGTAGACATTAGGACCCTTCCATGAACACATCCATCATTTCTCTTTTGCTCAGTCAGTCAAACCCACAATGTTGGCAACAGATCAATCAACAGTAAGCATTGTATTTCATTTTGATCGCCTTGCTGCATTACGCAACTTTTAGGCAGACAAGAAATTCCCCCAAAAAAGTGATTCCAGATGTCACTACTTTGTTTGTAAGAATACAACATTTGAAATAGAGTTACAAGACATTCCTAAGGCTTCAATGTGTTAAGTAGAGCAGACTGGGAAAACCAGGTACGTGTGTCTTTTTTACTTGTTCTACTTGTCAGCTGACAAATGCATATCTTTAGATTCTTGACTGTCCAGAAAAGACACGCCCCTGTTACGGTAGTTTAAACAACTACTGAAGTGTTTTGACGACTTTTCACCCTTTGTGTTGAAACCATGGCAGTTTTCATTTGGTTTTCCTTTTCTGCTTTCTTGCTTCAAGGCCTTGAGGTTAGTTTCTGTAGAAATGCTGGAGGAATTGCACCTGATCCACGCAAAGGAGGTTAATTAGAATATAACGGCTCTGTTGGTTAAGAACTTTTATTCTCAAAAAAGTCTCAAAAATGAAATTGGGTACGGTAATTGTTGTGATGCTTTATGTTATATATTGTCTGACCAAGGTTTTACAGGATGTTTAGAGGTGGGAGCAGAGGCTGGCTCTTGTACAGAGGGAGGGACTGAGCATGCACTGAGCATGGAGCTCCTCATTCACACACAACTAAACACACACATGGTCAGCAATGGCCGGACAGAGAGAGAGGGAGAAGGGTAGCAGTCCGCTGGTCAGCGCTTCCACAGTAAGATTTACATATTTTTGTAATGCATTTTGTAATGCATTTATAATTACTTATAATTATTTATTATTTGCAATTTTGCAAAATGTTTATTTATAGTTTGATCATTTACAATTACACATCATAATACATTGTGCATTATTTGGCTATTGCAAATATCTCACGCTTATTGTGGTGCAATGGTCCTTTCCACTTTTGTCTCACTAGGGATGTTCTTCTCTACAGAAAAATGGGACAGGCAGTCTTAGGAAACTTCTTTGGTAGGAAGAAAAGAAAATCTGCAGTCTACCTCTGACTTATGTACTTATAATACATTTTCTTTGATGATGATTTCATATCCCCATATTGTGCAATAAGCCTCCTTAAGTGAAGTTTCATCCCAGTTAATCTCCCTATTCTAATTAATGTGCTTTGATTCGCATTGGTTTATCTATCTGTTATGTCAGACTCTTACATCTTGCTCTCTCATTCGTCTCCTGCTGCTCTCACTGTTGTCCCAGGTGCTGAAGAACTAACAGCATATGACTGGGAGACATAATGCAGTGACTCTGGATTTGGTTTTAACACTGGGACTTGAAGGACAACTCTGAAGAATGTCCAGAAGGAGGTCCGCAGGAGACCTGGTGCCCAAGGACATCACTGCAGTATTGGCCCGGGAGGCGAGGGGTCAGCGTGGACACAGAAAGACAGGCGGCTCTCTGGGACTAGCATTCAACTGGTTCAAGGGAGGCAAGAGGAAGAAGAGCATTGGAAATGGGCACACTCCAGCTGCTGTTGGGGTGAAGGACAACAAAGGGCACATTAATGAAAAAGGTGAGCAAACATTTAACACTTTATGCTTATCAATGTCTGAAAAAACTTGAATATTGGGGGAGGCAGTTTAGAAGTATATGACTTGGTTTGGCCCCCTGTAAGTATGAATGTTATGAAAAAAGGTATGTATCCCTATAGAGCTAAACATGATGAGCATCCATGGGAGTGGGAATTCCCAAAGTGAATTGATTACACATAGAATAATAATAAAAAATGTTTAGAAAAAAGGATTCACAAAAAAAACTTCACTGTTTGAAGTTTGAGTTCCGTTACTATCACTCTGGATTAAGATTAAGAAACTAAGAGCTATCATGGAGCCATCAGTTTGTACATTACCCAAGACACAGACAGGCCGGCTCTGGGGTCTAATCCCTTTTTCTGTTTACTGATGCGTCTGCTTGCTCCCCTGCACAAAGATTAGCCACTCTCCACATTTCCTGTTTTTGTTTCTTCTGAAGCCTTCCATTGGATTTGGCTTTTGTCACTTTGTGTGTGCAGGCTTGGTGTAACTTGTAACACTGGCTTACCCTTTCTAGTTTTATTATCTTTGATTGTATTGGGGTTGTAATGGATCAGTGACACTGTTTGGTTATATTTCTTGGTTCACTAAACAGAAATCCAGAACATTTGAAGTAGAAATACATACATGCGTACATTTCCCACTAAACCTTTATAACTATAGGCAAAAAAACCTGTACTTCCATGTTTTTTTAGGTTGGAGGTTGAGAGCACTGTAGAAATGTTTTGAGCCAGTAGTATGCAATATGTTGAAACTACATATAAACTATAAATTTAAAGTGGAAAGAGAGTGTCTGCTGCAATGAGTGGAGAAAGAAGTGGAAGGTCGGGTGGTCATCAGGATCAAAACACACATGTAGGCATGGAATAAAGGCCTACATCCGAGGCAATCCAATATTGAAAATCCTTCATTGACTGGACATGCTAATAAAGGACTTTTATTCAAGCTATCAGAGTGGTACAGATTTCCCCCATTTGTCCATGCCTATATGTGAACAGAAATCCTTGAATCTTCTCTTTAGATAATTATTAATACAGTAAATAAAATTTAAAAAACTGTATTGTTCAAGTACTGATAGCCCCAAAACAGGATCCAGACTCATGATAATTGGACATTTTGATGTGGTATTCCAACAATATAGTAAAATGTATGTGCACTAACTAAACTATACCAACCATTCATCATCTTTTACTAAAAAGCAACTAACGGTTAAAGGCAACTTTAAACCAAGGTGAGATAGGAGAAAACAGATGGTGCTCACATGTGGGGACAATGATTTGGTCATTACCTGTGTTGTAATTGGCAGGCAAGTGAAAACACCTGAAAGGAACACTTTTTCCCACCATTAACCTCCAAGGGAACTAGTACGAGTCAAGTTTGTGGAAATGCAAGCCCGCTCACCGTGACAAAAAGAAATCAGAGCAAATGTGCATTATATACATGGGGGAAAAGTGTTTTCAGAGTGATTATGTTTATGTTATAAGAGTTTTATATTATACACTGAACATAAGTATTGTTTAATGGGAATTTGAAATGTGTGTGTTCATGTTTGTGTGTGGGTTTGAGTGTGCACATGTGTCTGTATGTGTGGAAACCTGGTTGCCAGATTGGGCCTTGGGGTGATGGAGAGCAGAGATTACAACAAATCACAAAGCCCTATTCAATATTGAGAGCGCTCTGAGGCAATTCTCCTTGCTATTTCAATGAAAGGAACTTCTCCACAACAATCTACAAAACAGTTCAATTTAAGTAAAAATATATAAACTTTCAAGCCATTCATTTAAAACATGAAAGACAATTATTATAATTACATTTAATTATTATGACCGCAATTAACAGTTAGTTGCTTTTTGTTGCAATGTCATTGTTAATATCATAACAATAAAGTAGAAGCTTATCTTGCATGCACGTTTTTGTTAAGTGAGTAATTGGGATGGCTTTACGGTTATAAGGGGTTCAAGGTTCAAGTTTTAAGGTATCTTTAGTATCCCCGAGGGGCAATTTGTTTGCAGCAGAGCTCTGCTGCTGTGTGTTGCCATAACCAGGGTCAACCAGGATGACAACATCCTCACCCTCTAAATAACTTACATTCAGAGACATCAAAATTAATACTTATTGCTTCTCTAAAACTCTGCCACTGTTTCTCAATTTCTACATCACATTTCTTCACTATATTACCAAACATTTCCCAATGCTTTGGGTGTGACCCCAGTAGTGGTATTGTGTAACCAGTAACTCCTTATTTAAAGTCATGTAAGTGTGACACAGTGTTAGCTTGTATCAAAGGGTGTGTGTTGCTTGGCTTAGCGCGGCGCCATCCTAACACCAGGCTCATTACGTCACCTCCACACTAAACAATCCTTTGCATAGAGAGGCTGCTGCTACCTGCTTTGTCCAGTGTGGTCCATCGGGCTGTTTGAGCACTGAGGTCATTGTGGATAGGCTCTGGGATTCCATCAGTGTGTCCATGTACTGCCTTTGTTTATACATGCATCCAACCATGTGGTCCACTCAACACAAGTCAACTGTGAGCTTAGTAATGGGGGCCTAGAGTTGTTTCTCTTTTCATCTGGTCGTGGTTTAAATTTATTTTGGTTTGTTGGACAATATATTAGGCCTTGGATTGTCTATCTACAGTGCCTTGCGAAAGTATTGAACCTTTCAACATTTTGCCACATTTCAGGTTTCAAACATAAAGATATAAAAATGTAATTTTTTGTCAAGAATCAACAACAAGTGGGACACAATCGTGAAGTGGAACAAAATGTATTAGATAATTTAAACTTTTTTAACAAATAAAAAACTGAAAAGTGGGGCGTGCAATATTATTCGGCCCCCTTCCGCTAATACTTTGTAGCGCCACCTTTTGCTGCAATTACAGCTGCAAGTCTCTTGGGGTATGTCTCTATCAGTTTTGCACATCGAGAGACTGGAATTCTTGCCCATTCTTCCTTGCAAAACAGCTCGAGCTCGGTGAGGTTGGATGGAGAGCGTTTGTGAACAGCAGTCTTCAGCTCTTTCCACACATTCTGGATTCAGGTCTGGACTTTGACTTGGCCATTCTAACACCTGGATACGTCTATTTGTGAACCATTCCATTGTAAATTTGGCTTTATGTTTTGGATCATTGTCCTGTTGGAAGATAAATCTCCGTCCCAGTCTCAGGTCTTTTGCAGACTCCAACAGGTTTTCTTCCAGAATGGTCCTGTATTTGGCTCCATCCATCTTCCCATCAATTTTAGTCATCTTCCCTGTCCCTGCTGAAGAAAAGCAGGCCCAAACCATGATGCTGCCACCGCCATGTTTGACAGTGGGGATGGTGTGTTCAGGGTGATGAGCTGTGTTGCTTTTACGCCGAACATATCGTTTTGCATTGTGGCCAAAAAGTTCGATTTTGGTTTCATCTGACCAGAGCACCTTCTTCCACATGTTTGGTGTGTCTCCCAGGTGGCTTGTGGCAAACTTTAAACGAGACTTTTTATGGATATCTTTGAGAAATGGCTTTCTTCTTGCCACTCTTTCATAAAGGCCAGATTTGTGCAGTGCACGACTGATTGTTGTCCTATGGACAGACTCTCCCACCTCAGCTGTAGTTATCTGCAGTTCATCCAGAGTGATCATGAGCCTCTTGGCTGCATCTCTGATCAGTCTTCTCCTTGTTTGAGATGAAAGTTTGGAGGGACGGCCGGGTCTTGGTAGATTTGCAGTGGTCTGATACTCCTTCCATTTCAATATAATTGCTTGCACAGTGCTCCTTGACATGTTTAAAGCTTGGGAAATCTTTTTGTATCCAAATCCGGCTTTAAACTTCTCCACAACAGTATCTCGGACCTGCCTGGTGTGTTCCTTTGTCTTCATGGTTCTCTCTGTGCTTTAAACAGAACCCTGAGACTATCAAAGAGCAGGTGCATTTATACGGAGACTTGATTACACACAGGTGCATTCTATTTATCATCATCAGTCATTTAGGACAACATTGGATCATTCAAAGATCCTCACTGAACTTCTGGAGTGAGTTTGCTGCACTGAAAGTAAGGGGGCCGAATAATATTGCTCGCCCCACTTTTCAGTTTTTTATTTGTTAAAAAAGTTAAAATTATCCAATAAATTTCGTTCCACTTCACGAATGTGTCCCACTTGTTGTTGATTCATGACAAAAAATTAAAATTTTATATCTTTATATTTGAAGCCTGAAATGTGGCGAAATGTTGAAAGGTTCAAGGGGGCCACATACTTTCGCAAGGCACTGTAGCTATTGTTTGTTCTGGTATAAAAAGAGCCGGATGAAAGGTGGTAAAACTTGCTGCGGTCACATTGCACCTAAAGCCCGGATCTAATCGCGAAGCGGGCCCTGGCACACTTAAACCGGGCTTTAGGCTGCGCATGTGACCGCAGCCTTTGATACATTTTAGACAAATGTAGTTTGCAATACAAATTTATTTTATCTATCATTTTAATTTGAATGAGAATGCCATTTTTACAATAAAAACTGTAAGCCTTATATACTGTAAATCACACTAGTCCTGGTATGAGTGGCTGCCACATCATGTGCAGTGGTATGGGTGGGTATATTCACAAACCATAATGTAGATTACAGACTTGGCAGTGTAATTGGAAAGCTAACATCTCATTATACTGAGAACATTGCATATAAAGCTTCTGTTTTATTACAGGCCACATAATATCAGTGTATCTTGACGGAGAGTGGGGAGGAAGAGGCACAGACAGATAGATGGAAACAGTGTGAAAGTTTAATGAAAATACACTTTGTTCCAGAAAATGTCACTCACCACTCGTACACTCTTTGATGAGGTAATTTTACCCGGGTATCTAAAGCTACGGTCCTGACAGTCACCAGGGCAACGCTGCCCTGTGTGGTGCAGCCAGAGGGACAACTACATTATTGAAGCTCTGTGTCTTCATAAGCCATTATAGGCCTTTTGTACTTACACACGTAGCTGTTGACTTTTGCAGAATGTTA